TTTTTTTTTTTTTTTTTTGGTACTGGGGATCAAATTTGGGACCTTGTGCTTGCAAGGCAGACACAGAGCCACTGAGCTAAATTCCCAGCCCTAGAATCTTTTTTTGAGGGCTCCCTATTGCTAAGTGCTATGTGTTTACTTTATTCTTACAATAGCTTTGTGAGATGTTATTTACAACTGTTATTCATGGATCAAAAACCTGAGACTCAGGGAACTTCCTCATTGGGAATTTGTTCCTTCCTATCCCTTGGATTTTGGAGGCATCATCGCAGTAGCTTTCCCGCTCTTTGTCCATGCGGCACAGGCCTGGTCACCCTTGGCTCCCTTGTCAGGGACAGTCATGTGACCATTGTCATGTAACCTTAGCTGAGTCTTGGTATGTTGAAGATAGGAAGAGAATCACTCTTCTTTTTGGAAGTTAAGCTTTTACTTTGTAAATTTGTGGCATCTGAAGCTGATACCCCATACTATGGAAAGCATGTGACAGAATGAACATAGCCAATGCACAAAAGAAACAACTGTAGGGACAAGGAGGTTGGTAACTGTCTAAGAGGCTCTGGATGCAGCCACACGTGGATCCAGGCCCAGCTAGAACTTCCTAGCATCTGAACCATTCTCTTACAGTATTGTGTGTTTCAAAAACACACAAAATTAGAAGATGCCAAGTAATAGAGCCAAGGCCACTCAACCAGTGACCAGAAATGGCAGAACCAGGGTCCAGACCCCGGCTACTACCACACCTGTGCCCCTCACTCTGGCGTGCTGTGGGGAGAGAGGGCAGGACCAGGGGCGCTGGGCAGGGAGAGTGACTGCTCCATGGACTTTGGAAGACAAGTGTGCAGCTCAGGGGAGGGTGGCTGAGGACCCTAGGGGCCTGCGAGGTCTGGAAGCCAGGGGCAGAGAGGGTGCGTGGGAGACTGAGGAGCAGTGGCAGAGACAGGCTTGTCCCAGACAGGGCTGACAGGCAGCACAGGACCTCTTGCCGAGAGACCTGGCCTGGCTTGTGGGTGTGGATGGCGAGCTCATGCAGTGCCACGTAGGAGGCCCAGGCTAGGTCTGGAGGTGACCCTGGACGGAGGGTGAGGAGAGAGGGGTCACTGGAGGAGGACAGGCTGAGTCACCACCGGACACCAAGGGGGAGGGTGCGCGTCTCCGTCACACCCAGTGCACGGCTGCGAGCTCAGGAGGAGGAGGTGGCCCTGCCGGCCCTGACCCCTGCACGGGGGACTGAGGTGCAGGAGGAGATGCTGTGGAGCCTCACTGGTGGATTCATTAGAGGGGCAACAGGAATTTCACTCAGGCCAAGCTCAGGTGATTTATCCACCCCTGCCAATGAGCCAGAAACAGGTTTTAATTTTTAAAACATTTTAATAAAATTAACCAATAAATATCCTAAACTGCAAAATCTACAGGGATGAAAAGTGGGAGCCAGGGGGCCAGTCTTTCTCACCAGGCCTCGGGTCCCTTTGCGGAAAGAGGTTCTGCTGGGGCTGGTCCCGGGCTGGGACTGCTGGCTCGGGGGAGCGGGGAGGGGTGCCGGCAGGGGACCTGGGCTCCTACACTACACCACTCTTTGTTGGCACAGAGGGAGGAGGAGGGGACAAAGACCCTGCAGGAGGTGTCCGGCAACCCTCAGAAGTGATGGGGCAGGGGAGAGCTAGCCTAGGAGGTGTGAAAGGAGAAGCGGGAGCAAAGGCAGCGGCAGGCAGGCTCGGCTCCTCCCTCACTCTCGGATGTAGACCCTGGTGCACACTACGTCATCTGCTGTCATGGTCTGGAAAGACAAGGTCATTGTTACCCTGGGTTCCTGTGGCTTTGGAGAGGGGCCAAATGGAGGTACTCTGCTTGGCCCTAGGCCCAAAGCTGCCTGATGGATCAGGACCAACAGGCAGGGAGGAGCTGCTCCCAGGCTGGGACACCCCTGGAGAGCTGCAGCTGCAGCTCCACAGGAGAGAGAGTGTTTCCAGCCACCCTGCAGCCATCTCGGGGTGCAGAGACCAGCTGGAGAACCTCTTGCTTCCTGGAGTCTCCCGAGTCCGGAGGTAGCCCCGGGTTCGCTCTGAGCTGGGAAGAAGTGAGACTCACCAAGATCAACTCTCCATCGTTGGTCAGCTCTCTGGTCCAGGAGGTCTTGGGGCCCTCTCCCTTCAGAAGCCTCTGCTCGCAGACCATTTTGTTCTCACTCTCCCATTTCACCAGGCTCTGCGAGGGACGGGTGGCCAAGTGAGCTGGGCCCATGGCAGAGCGGTGCCGTGAAGGGGTAAGGGACAGATTCCCCCGGGACCTGCCCCTTCCCAAGGATTCTCCATGGGAATGAGGAGGGAGCACCTAGGAAAGCCTGGCAGTGCATTCATGACCTCTGGGCCCTTCCTGGCACGCACCTTACAGGGTCTCCCATCCACGGTCTGTTCCTCAAACTCCTCACCGACCTTGAAGTTGATCTCCGTGGTGCGCACCGTGGTGGAGGTTTTGATGTAGAAAGTGTCTCCTTCCTGTTTGATCTCCACTGCTGGCTTGGACGCAGCAGCCACAGCGATCTTCCTCAGCATCATGTTCACACCTGCAGGAAGAGGGGAAGGGTGACTGCTCACCCCGCCTGCCAAGAGCCCGCCAGGGCAGAGCCATCAAGGAGTCCTGCTGTGTTGAGGCAGCAGGCCTGGACTGGGCTCCAGAGTCCCAGCTCTTCGCTCCCGGAATCCTCAGGGGCAGCTCCATAGCCCCCTCCCAGCATGCACCCTGCTGCACTCACTGGCTCTGTCCACCCTGGCTGGAGACCTTGTCTTTAGGTGTGTTCACCGGAGTCCCTGGGGCTGAGTGTTAAAGGGAAGGCACCCAAGAAGTGGGGTCACCTCCCTGTGCCCCAGCTACCCACCCTGTATGGTTCTAGGCAGGTCTTCATTTCCCCAACTTCTGCCCCTCCACCAAATAAGGGGCAGAGACTATCAGCAAAAGGGAGAGAATGGCCAGCTGCCTGGAGGCTGAGTGAGGCTCTGGAGTAGGGTTTGGGGTTCCCTCCTGGCTCTGCCCCCTGCTGGCTGGGAGGCTGGCAGGCTGAGCTTGGCTTAAATTCTCTGAGCCTCACATCTCTCCACTGTAACATGGAAGGAATAGTTTCTTCAACTCCCTCCTGCCCCAAGAAAAGGGGACAGAAAGGAACACTGTCCTCCCAACCTGCTGGGACCCCTTCCTAGGATCCCATGCGTCTCATGAGCAGGCAGGCCCTGTGCCTCTGCCTGTGTGGACTCAGCCTCTGTGTCTCTGGGATCCACTCCCAGATGAGCCCTCTGGGGGGCAGTGGGGGACACCTGGGCACTCCAGCCCACGCAGCCTGCCTTGTGGTGTAGAGCAGAGCCCTTCAGGATGTGATGGGGGCAACAAACAGTGCTGGCCAAACCCTGGCTCCTCCTCCAGACTTGGGTTCCTAGGGAAACATTGTCTTTCATTCAGCACCAAGGCTGACCCACCCTATTGCAAACAGAAGGGAACGGTGAGGAAGCCCTGCCCCTTGGGAACCCTAGAGTTCCTCTGTTCTCCTCCCTTTCCTCCTCCTCCTCTTTTTTGTCCAGGGGATTTTTTAATCCAGAGCTTGTATTGAGCTATATCTGCAACCTTTAAAAAATATACATTTTTAAGATTTATTTCTGGTACCAGGGATTGAACTCAGGACCTTGTGCTTGCAAGGCAGGTGGCTAAACCCCCAGCACTTTCGTATTTAAAATTTTAAAGACAAGGTCTCAGTCACTAAATTGCTCCAGCTGGGTTTGAGCTTGACACCCCCCTGCCTCAGCCTCCCACATTGCTGTGATTACAACACCACAACTAGTTTGCAGCCCACTTCTCTCTGCTGCTTATGCTAAGTTTCAGTCAACTTGGTAGAGAAGACAAATCCTACTTCCTCTTCTGGTCAAGGAGCCCACCTGGAAACCCGCCTCCCTGACACCCATCTTCCTGTAACAATAGCAGGACCTGCTCTGGGGGCCATATGGCCAGACAGCCCCCAAATACCTGAGCACCCCTCACCAGGAGAAGGAAGAGTCTGAGGGGCCAGAGAAGGGGAAAGGTCAGAGCAAGCAGTGCTCTACAGCGCCAGCCTGGGCTGCTCGCGCAGTGTTTGTCCAAAGGATCTGTTTCCAATCTGCGCCCCACAGGGCCCGGGAAGGGCACGTGGCTCCGAGAGACCCCGCAGGGAGGACAAACAACCTGAACAGACATCAGGGCTGGGCTTTAGCCTTATTCTCCAGTGGGGCTGGCCTCCTCCAGGGGAGAAGGACCAGGATCCGGAGCAGATGGGAAAGAAGTGGCATCTAGAGTTTCTGAGGGAAGCCTCTGTCCTCGGTCTAAACCTCAGCAAAGGGCTGGGGATTTAGCTCAGCGGTTCGGTGGCCTGCCTTGCGAGCACAAGGACCCGAGTTCGATCCCCGGTATCACCCCCCGAAAAAAAACCCCAAATAAACTTCAGCAAGAGAAACTGGCACAGGGCCAGGCCCAGTGAGAAACAGCTGTGATCCCACCACTCTGCGAGGGTGAGATGAGGATGGACTGGGCGATTCATTGAGACTCTGTCTCAGGATTAAAAAATAAATAAAAAGGACCGGAGAGGACACCGAAGGAGCAGAGCAGCTACCCTCGGCTGGCTGGGCAGGCCTCTTCCCACCTGCTGGGTCCTGGCTCTCTCCACTTTCCAGACTCCTACTCCATCCCACCCCACGGTTTCCCGGAGGAGCAGCGGGAAATTTGGGGAGGGAATCTGGGGTGGATCCAGCTTCCCCCACCTTTGACTAGCACACCCCACTGCAGCAGCCGGTTTAGGCCTGGAAAGGGGGTGGAGCCCCGGGCTTTTGGAAATGGGGATTGGGGTTTCACACAAAGCCATTTGTTGAAATCCAAGAAAGTGATAATTATCCCGAGCGATTTTAGGGCTCTGGAGCTGCTTGCTGTAGGAAAATATTTGTCTCACAGATGGGGGTGGGGTGGGGCGCCGAGAACCGAGAGGAAAGCGCAGAAGGGGGAAGGAGGGGTCGCAGAGCTGGGGCGCCGGATCACCTGGTGGGCGGAGCCGGGTTGAACCTGCCCGAGATTGGGTTACTGGAAGGGGCGCGGGCGGGAGACCGGAATGTCTCGGAGAGCTGGCCGGGGAAGGACCCAGCCTCCCCGCCTGGCCACCAGCTTCACTGCTTTCCCAGCCCGCAGCTTCTCCATTGCGGGGCACAGGTGCCCGGTCCGGGGGTGCAGGCCCGTGGCCGAGCCCCTCCCGAGACCAACCTCGTGCTTCTGGTTTCTGCTTGATTCACAGGCTGAGTCATCGCCGGAGCTGGCACGGGTGGGCGACCCTCCGGGGAAGCCGGGTCAGGGCGTCCGTCTGTCCCTTTTCCGAGGATGGGGGAGCCCCAGGCTTGGTGCCTGGACTCCCTTCCCCGCCCTCAAGGATCCAGCGCCCCCTTACCCCTGGCGGCTCTCGAACCCCTCCTTACCCAGCACTTTGAGCAAGTCCTCAAAGTTTTCCGACCGAATGATCTTCCAGTTGCCAGAGAAGTTGGGCATGTTGGTGGCGCGTGTGAAGTCCCCTTGGACTCCTCCGCAGGATCACTGGGCCCTGAGTACTTTAGAGGAAAGAGACGCCCCGACTGACACCTTGGTGCCGCTGCCTGCCTCGCAAGCACTACGTCCTGAGTTCGATCCCGAGAATCAAAAACCCGCGCCCCGCCGGACCCCTCCCCGCCCCCATCCCTGTCCCCAAGTCTGGCCTCGGGTGGTGCGAGGCTCTCTGGGGGCCGAGACCCCGACTTCCGCGCCGGGAGGCTGACGGGGAGGCCTGTGCCCGCGAGCGATGCGCCCTGGAAAGGCGCCGAGCACCCCTGCGACTCCCCACCCTTGCCCAGTTTGACTCCTAAGCAAGCGACACCGCCACAGGGCGAACCCCTATCTCGAGCTGAGGCCTTCGGACAGCCGAGTTCGCGCTTCATCCTGTGGGAATGCTTGGAACCCAGAAAGGGCCGGGAACCCTGGAGTCCGGCACCATCCAGGGCCCCGGGGTCGGGCCGCTCCG